AGGCCCAGGGATTGTGGGTGGGCCTAGCTTGTAGAGGATCACTGAGATGTCTGCTGAATTTAGGGGACTGCTGTATCCTGGGTCCCCCTTTTCATTCCTCAGAGACAAGGGAAGGAAATTCCCATATTGAGACCATCTGAGGAAAATTTCCCATTGTGGAGTCTCCCATCCCTAGCCTCTACCCTGAGATTGCAATACAGGAAAAGGGGCTGCCAGGCAGACATATATTATTATTTTTAAATGTTAAGGATCTTTTCCCCTGAACTGATCCAAACAAAATTTCCATGTATGTGGGCTTGTGGACACTGCCTTCTCTGTGCTACACCCTGGGTTTGTTATGCAGGAAGGGGGGCTGCTGGGGAGAAATCAGTTTCTATAATATTATATGTGTTCACTTTATTTCAGTAAGATCACAGCTATGGCAGCATCATAGTTACCATGTGGCTACACCCAAGGGAGCCATGAGACCAATCAGACCCAGAGTAATAGGGCTGACGAGCTAAGCTTCCAGGAACAGAGGTGGGATTTCTGTTCCTGGGATTTGTCCTGTGATGGGAGTTGAAGCTGGTACGCTCAAAGCCAAGCAGTTGAGGTTCCCTGATGGCCAAGTGGCCCCAAGGGAAGGTACAAACGTGCTGCATAAAGGCAGTTGCCTCCCTAGCTGAACACGCACTGCCTGCTGCCCGTGCAACCACACTGATGGCTCTTTGTTCACTGGGATGAAGACCTCTGTTGCCAGCGACTCCCTTCTAGCAGGAACTGGGTACGTTGGCAGGTTTCACTGTCTGTAACATGCCAAGTGCAGGGCAAAGGCTGCAGGCTGTTGGCATTGGCAGCTGTTCTGTGCAGCGGCAGAGGATTATTCTAGGAGGGGGTGGGTAAGATTCTGTGGCCTGCACTGTGCAGGGGGTCAGACTAGGGCCGTGTCCAGACTCAGGGGTTTTTTCGGGAAAAGTAGCCTTTTCCCGAAAAAACTTCCCCTGCGTCCAGACTCAAGCCATGTTCTTTCGAAATTATTTCGAAAGAACGCGGCTTTTCTTTCGATGGCGGTAAACCTCATTTCACGAGGAAGAACGCCTTCTTTCGAAAGTTCCTCTTTCGAAAGAAGGCGTTCTTCAATGTAAAGAGGCCGTCTTCGAAAGAGAGCATCCAGACTCGCTGGGTGCTCTCTTTCGAAAAAGCGGATTTTTCTTTCGAAAGATCCGCCTGCAGTCTAGGCGCCATCTTTCGAAAGAGCCTCTTTTGAAAGAAGCCTGCAGTCTAGACGCCATCTTTCGAAAGAGCCTCTTTGGAAAGAAGCCTGCAGTCTAGACATAGCCTCGATGATCATAATGGTCCCTTGTGACCTTAAAGTCTATGAGTCTATGAGGATGCTGCTGGGCTGTCGGGGTGACTCAGTGATGGGGCTGGAGGACAGGCAGCACTAGGTAGTTTGGAAACTCTCCCCTACTTCTGCCCGTGCTCCATGGTGGGCTGCTCAAATAGCAGAAAAATCTCCCTTTGAAAGCGACTTTCTAGTGTCAACACTCCAATGCCCCACTTCAGAATTTCTAAGAAGTTCGGGATTTGTCAACATGCAGGGGGGTCGGGGCCCAGTCCCTCTAGGCTGTGAGTGAGAGGAGACCCCACAGATTAGAGATGACGAGGTCCCAAATCGACTTATGGTTATTTGCTCCTGGAAATTTACTCAGCAAATGTCTTTTCAAAGGTTTTATTCTCTGGCTTGATTGTGAGGGCAGGAACTCAGAGCTGCGTTGCTCTGTGGTAACAGGCCCAACAGGCGGGACCCAGTCCCTCTAGGCTCTGAGTGAGAGGAGACCCCACAGACTAGAGATGACGAGTTCCCAAATCGACTTATGGTTATTTGCTCCTGGAAATTTACTCAGCAAATGTCTTTTCAAAGGTTTTATTCTCTGGCTTGATTGTGAGGGCAGGAACTCAGAGCTGCGTTGCTCTGTGGTAACAGGCCCAACAGGGCATATTTCTGTTTCCTGACTGGCTGAGGGCTCTTTGGCCCTGTAGACACCTTCTTCGAGTTACAGGGGTATCGGCATCTCTGCCTCAGATGTCAAGCCTCAAAGCCAGCTTCTCATAGCTTCTCATGGGGTGGAATCCCACAATCCTCCCGCCATCAGACTGGGCCTTGGGTGCCGTGCGCTGCAGGTCGACCTTGCTTGTCCAGAAGCTCTGAGTGGGTTTGGCACCTGTGTTCCTTCCTTGGGGCATAACCATAGGCTGGTTGCTGCGAGCTGGCTTTTCCTGAGCTGTTGCTTCCCTTCTGGATTCTTTTCCAGCAGCCTGGAAAGCTGACTGATGTAACCTAATACAGCCGTGACATAAACAGACCAGTGGTTAACCAAGCATCGCTCTAGAGCAAACATCCCAAGAACTGGGTCTGACATGCACATTCATCATTGCAGCTTAGCTCCATGTCTGTGATGGTGCCGTTCCTGGGTGCTACTTATTTGGGCTGCATCTAGACTGGCAAGATTTTGCGCAAAGTATCCTTGTGCAAGAGGGCTGGTGTAGACAGCAAGTTAATTTCTTTAAAAGTATTTGAGCAAAATCATGCCAATCTAGACGCAGCCTTGATATATACCAGAGATGGGGGAAGGAGAGGCTGAGGAGGAGAGAAAGAGAGAAAGCAACAGGCTGAATTCATGTGTGAAATGAAGTTCCATGTCCATGAATATTTATGCATTTGACTTTGAAATCCAGTTTCTACAAATCCTCATCACATCTGAATATCTATATACGATTCAGTTTCTACAAATCCTCATCACATCTGAATATCAGGTGCTGGGGGTCACTATATACGATATACACTATATACTGTGTATACAAGCGAGAGCTCATGGAGTGAATATTTCATATACTGACCCCAGAGACACCTCACCAGACACAGGCTACAGATAGACACAGATGAACCTGAAGAGAACTTAGAAGCTATTAACCCAGGGACAGAGGACCTACGAACATCTGGTTGTTGACAGGTGACTGGATAAGAGCTGAGGGCATGTGTAACATTGCACGTCCCACTCTACTGTAAGAAACCACCTCTGAAAGAAGATCAGAAGACAAAGACTGGGAGGACATGTGTGTATATTCAAGTATAGATGTTTAAATGTGATGCCAGAAAATTTAATTTTAATACAAATATTGTAAATCAAAGGTTGATTTCGTGTATCTTGAAAGGCAGCAGCAGTGTTGTTGGCATCTCCAGTAGAAGGGGCAGTGGTAACACTTTTTCCAAGGAGGCTGTGGTACGTTCGAGGGGAGAAAAAATATATATGACAATGAAACTTGTTTATAAACAGCATCAGTGCAGGGCAGAGAAATACAACGACCGTTTTCACGAGGCCATGTTTACACACTGTGCAGCACACTCCGAAGTGGAAGGACAGAAAAGATGTCTATGGAAAGGTGACATCTGTAAAATGACCTGGTGCTCAAATAGCTTGCAGATTTGCCTACCACAGAACATGAATGGGGCCAGGATCTTAGCCGGATTGAAAGAGGAACTGGCTGTTCATATGGGTAACCAGAAAATCCCGTTACAGTCATGAGGATTTTTTTACGGTTGTGGAAGGGCTTTAACTCTTCATGTTTTACGCCACAAAATACGATTAACAAGCAGCCTGACCCAGCGTTGCCTGGGTCCTTCAGGGTGGGAGGTTGGTGGGAAGGCAGGACTCAGGGCAGGGCTGGGGGATGTGAGTCTAGAGACAAGGGGGTGTGAATGTGCATGTTGGGGTTGAGGAGGGGCTTAGAGTAAGGTGTTGGGGTGCAGGAGATAGGGCAGGGGGTGAGCAGAGGCTCTGGGCAGGAAGTGGGGGTGCAGGAAACAGGGCAGGGGGTGAGCAGGGGCTCTGGGCGGGGGTGGGGGTGCAGGAGACAGGGCATGGGGTGAGCAGGGGCGCTGGGCAGGGAGTGGGGGTGCAGGAAACAGGGCAGGGGGTG